CAGTTCTTTCTGTTAGGGCCGTCTTCCTGAGAGCGGCTCCACCCCTTCAGGCCACTTGGGGCGGACTGGTATTTCCCGCTCTCTGCGGACAGTCCGCCCACTAGCTGCTCAGCGCTGTGCGGGAGAGGGAAGCAGGGGTCAGGGCACGGTGTCTCCTGTCCTGTGACGGGGATATCTGGGAGCTCCTAGGTCATCGGCAACTCTCTTTGTTTACAGTTGATTGGAAAACGTGCGACACGGCAAGTGATTCTTGTTCCTCAGGTGACACTGAACACTGGCTGTGAGCTGTGCTGTCCAGGCTTCGCCAATTTGTAAATTAAATGCGCATTCTTTTTCAAACTGTGCTTTTCAGAATTTTTCAGTACGTGTTTGCATTTCTTCTTTCTTCACTTCCTCCTCCGTTGCCTGATCTTGCTCCCGTCCTCGAAGATCTGATTGTGCCTGTGCGGAGTGCGTGGCCCCTCACTGGCTTCCTCTAACAAGCTGAACAAACATGTGAGGTGCCCTCAGTTTGCATCGATGTGAGGGTCATGTTCTTACCCTCTCTTAACAATGGTCCTGACCTACAGGGAATCAACCAAAAAAGGCAATAAAAGGAAGCAGGCCTCACTCTGGGGCCGCTGCACCCCTGGCCGTGAGACCTGTCCCTGGTCTCCCGATCTGTGCCTCCAGCTCCGGAGCCCCACGTTTGGTCTTCACTTTTCTGAGAAGAGGACCTCGACTCCTTTGCATCTTCCAAGGCAGAGAAATACCCTCCGTGCGTCATTAGGACAGGGACAAAGGTGACCGCTGAGCTTGAGGAGAACGATTTGCTTTTGGCTTTACGTGCTGCTTTTCTTCAGAATGAAAGTGAACATAGGGGCTTTCTTTTTAAAAGTAATTTTATTGGTACATTTTATGTATGTATAATAATCACATCATTGGGAATTTTAAACTTTTTCTTTATTTTTAAAAATGAATTATATTGGTACACTTTAGATGTACATAATGATAACATTCATCATATGGAATTTGTACTTGGTTCTTTTTTTCCGATTTCTCTCCCCTCCCTTCAAACCTTCTTCCTCTCCTTATTTACAAAAGCTTTGCTTCCATTTTCCCCTCCTATTCT